CACATTGACCAAACCTTTATATGACAACCACAATGTTGTGTTGAATTAAAGTGGGATTCATTCTAATTACAAGGACTGCTATTCAGGAAATCCAGTTAAGATTGGTGCGAACGCAACAGTCGACGGAGCAACGGAGCTGATCACTGAGAGATCTCAGAGGAATTCGACTGCTCTAAACTTCACTTGTTCTTTTTGTTTTTAGTGCTGTGGTAAAACACTCTGACTGTTTTATAGTAAACAAACAGAAAAAAATGTTGGCACAAGTTTGTTTGTTTTTTTTTTTGTTTTTTTTATACAAGCTATCGATGTACCACATAAACATCCACTTCAAAAGTGGGTTGTGTACGACTTGTTTTGTCATTGCACTTTTACACAGTTGTAAATTATTTGACATGGTTGTGTACAGTATTAGATTTGGCTTTGCGTTCAGAACTTTTCATTCAGAATGTTTTGTTTTTAGTTTGAAAAGAACTTTGTTTTGCACTCATGTCATTTCTTAGGGTCTTTATGTCTGAATAAAAATGTGAATTTTCTATGGCAAATATCGACTTTCTTCATCCCGTACTTATGTCATTGCCACATTTGATAATCAGATCATTTTTTTACAGCAAAATGCTTCAGCTGTGTTTGCATTAAATATATATATATATATATATATATATATATATATATATATATATATATATATGTATGTATGTTTAAAATATATTTGGTAGCTAGCTACTGTAACCTGATGCTAATGTAACCTATGGTGTGACTTTGTCTTTTACCTAACTTTCAAATGGCTGCCATCATTGCCCACTATGTGTCATCTGGTAGCCTGGTATCAAAGGATGGGATTTAGTGCTAACTTAGCTTGTAGCTTACCACTAATTGCAACGTAACCCCCACAGAAAGGCCTCGCCGTGAAGGATTTCAGGGAGGGTAAATATAAAGTGTGGTATTTATATATTGCTTTGAGTTTTGGAATAATTGATAACAGAATGAACGTGAGGAGCGCTGGTCGCTGTGCTATCATCGTCTAGTCTGTGAGTCTGAATGAGTTTGAATAGAGTTTGACTCTGCAGGGTAAAGCTGGAGGTTGTTTTCTGTTCACTGGGTCACAGCCTCTGAGATAAATTATAGGGTAAGTTGAGTTGGTATTGTTTTTTTATTTTATTTTTAGAATTAGAACACACGCATAGTGGAGCAGTCCCAGAAAAAGACCAGAAGTAGCTTGTCTTGTTGCAAACAATCCGTCAATCAACTAATACGTCAATAATACAATGAAATAAACAAACGACAAAGAAATCAAAAAGCTTAGTAGTTGATGGTGCATTTGTGTAACTGACAGTTGTGTGAAGCCCGAAGGCAAACTCTGATATTTTTGACCACGATAGTAGGTTGTGTGAATGGAGACACTTCATCTCCTTTCATGAGCTGATTTTCATATTCCTTCCTGAAGTTGACTAATGCATCACTGCAAAACAAATGACCTGTTCCAGTTGGATTTAAATACTATTGTCCCTCTCTACAGTGTGTGTCTGCAGTCCACTAATTAAGACACAGCAAAAAATATTATTCATTTGAAAGCCTGTGTCCACTGCAAAGTCTCAAACATTATTTTACGAGGCCAAAATGTCACAGAAAAAAATAAACAGCTCCATTAAGCCCGTCCTCACATAATGAAATAATTAAATGGACCTTAAAAGAGTTTGTTGTAATGACTCACTGTTGGTTTAGGCTTTAAACAGACAACAATCTAGGGTTATTACAATGGAGTGTCATTACAAAAACTCGACATTCTTCTTTCTTTCTTTCTTTCTTTTTTTTTTGTGCGCCCAGTTTCCTCTCTTATTTCCGGAGTTGTCAGCACCGGATGGGAACAAAGCGACTCTTTCTGTGCGTCTTTGGGATGCTAATCTGACTGACCATCAGCTGCTTCTGTTCTTAGTCAGGAGAAGACTGATACAGAGAGGCTGAGATAGTAGCAAGGGTGGGTTGAGGAAGGGGTGGCACCGAGGGTGATGACTGGACCATTTGGCATCCAGTGAACAGAGAAGTATTGTGCGCCGGTGGGTCACTGCGTAACAGACCACTTCTCCACAGGATGACAGTGATATTGAAGTGGAGAAGGTGGGAAGATGGTTAACGTTTGTGTAATTGAGTTAAGCACTGGATTTAAAATATTAAATGTTAAATTATGTTAATTATATTAAAGTGCTTTTACCACAGATGCATCAGTTGCATTTTTTTGGCTAGTTACGATGTTTGTGGTACTATTTTAATTTTTTTTAAATTTTGAATTAACAGCATTAAAGTAAAGTGTTTTTCCACCACAAAATAATTCAAGTGGTTATGACACATTCCCAAACTGCACACAGTCACAGGTTCCTTTTTCAGTTCAGCAACTTTAAAAATATGCACAGTGGTTGTTGACTGGAAAGGTACTGAATGAAAATCGGTTCCTGTTTACTGAACTTTTCAACGAATAAAACGTGTAGTGACTTTAGGAAATAAAGAAACAATGTATGACCTCTCTTTTTTATGGCTATACAGTATTTGCAAATTAAAATAAAGTCCACGTTCAAACGATGCCTTTTTTCAGGTAGTAAGTCCAGTGGTCAGTGAGGAATTACGAGACAAATGTGGGGGCAAAGTGAAGTGAAATGTGTCACCTGGCAATTTCTCTTCCCATCTACTACATGCCAAATTAAACAAACACTCACATGATTTGAAACAGCTCCAGTAAGGGTGGATCGGTATACTGTAGCTCTACCTTTTATGAATTAAAAAGAGAACGTGGTAGTCTTCAGGTCTTTAGTGTCTTTATAATGCAAGTTAAAATCTCAACACCTTATATTGCTGTAATTCATACAAACAATTCATACTTCCAGATGGCAGTGAGTGCAGTGCCAAACAGATCCTTCTCTGGAAAGGAGTTAGCTTCTGCACGTGAAAGAGGAAAGCAGTGTATTTATTAAACTTTAAAGAGGAGTAGAGTAGAGACAAGAGGCATTGTTAATCAATTTGAGTGTCGGATGACCAGACTGTTTCCAAAACAGTCTTAAAACATTTATATAAGTTGGATCATAGTAATAATGAATAATTGACTAGTTTATTAAGGACAGGGGAATAATAACAAACAGATGAAGAATGTCTGATTTACTAGTGCTCTGGTTATACTGATAATATGCACGTGAAGGAAAGAAATTTGAATTCCCGGTTTAATGATTTAACCAAATAAGTTATGCAATTTGTTCATTTCTCAGTGGTTCATGACTGAAGAAAACCCTAATGTGTCATGTCCATTTACCTCGCTACACAGGAAGGTACTTCACACTAAAGCTTTCTGTGGTTTTATAGTCAAAAATGAGGACATTTCTCAAAATATCTTATCTCCAAACCTAAAGCCAATATTACCTTGTTAGAGTGATGGCTACTCCCCTCCACCACTGGGGAATTTGATACGAGTGGTTTATCACATTTGTTTAGATTTCATCAAGTCGTGAGCTCCTGACACCAGGGGTGAAGTATGTTAGTTCTTTGTTCCAAATATGTGAAGTTCCTGAGGGTTGGTTCCCACAGGTTTTGATGCTTGGTTCTTCTTTTTGGTTAACTTATCAGTAATATGTGACATTTGACTTGACTGGACAAAAGAAAAATAAAGACTGAAGAATTAATGTGTTTTGTCATACGGAAACATCACAAAACGTAACACTTTTTATTTGTTCTCCTCAGTAGATGGAATCCCAACAATTGTTGACTTGTCCAGACTGTGGTTGTCTTTATCTTTTATCGGAGGTTGTCAGCTCCCTCTCCTTGTCTCCTCTTTCACAGACAAAGCAGAAGGTTGATGAAGTGCAGGCTGTGGTGGAAAGTGATATTATTCTAGTCAAGTGGAGGAGGTAATGCTGACTGTATGTTGGTGTGTGTGTGTGTGGGTGTGTGTGTGTGTTTTAGGAATGTGTAGGAGAGGAGAGATAGAGTGAACTGGTAGGGAGGAGTGTGTTGACATCTCTCTTCTGCTCGGTGCTTATACTTGTCAGGCACTGCTTAGGACACCTTCCATTTGGCTTTGTTTTCGTTTCAAAATATTAATTGAATTAAAAAACGTTATGAGGCCAATGTTGCCAGCTGATATCAGTAAGAGGTTGAAGACAGTGTATGAAGAAGATGTAGGCTAGACTGTGTGGATGCACAGTGAATGGAACTTAGAAAGTGTGTGATAAAAGAGATGCGATGACCTTTGACCTCAACGATGGGCAGTGAAAGCCGCAGCTAAAATGTTTAGTTTAACAGTCACACAAAGCGATTCCCTTTGTGGCTGAGTCTCCTAATAACGTGTTCGTTGTGTTGTTTGACATGTTACTGAGGAGCTGATGGTATTTAAATGAGATGAGTCACATTCATAGTTTGGGGCGCCACTGTGGGATTCTCAATAAGGCATTGTTCCTCCTCCCCTTTTTCGCCTCTCCCCTCTCTTCCTCCCAGCAACCAAACTTTATGCAAAAGCATTTGGAGTGGCAGGAAGTGGAATTACACACCTTTGTTTTCAGCTCTGAGTCTAACATGTTCAGGACTCTGCAGAAGAATGCATTAGTGGGAGTGACATGGATATAAACTGGCAGGTCCTTACGGGGGGAGGGGGGTCGTCTACTTCCTTTTTTCCCCTACGCTCCTGAATTCCTCAAGTGAATCCTATACACGACACTTTCCCACCGTACCACACTTGAACTTCTACTAAGCTCTCTGCTAATACGTCTGTCCACGCTTCCCTTTGAGCTCCCCTTTAGTGTCTTAGTGCTCGACTGCTAATCACATGTAAAAACATGCCCAGTGCTGGTTTGTGTTTTCTTTCTGGAGTATTACATTTCCAGTCGCAAGAGACTCTGTGCAAACAGGAAAGTGAGGTTTAAGATGAAAAATGCAGCACAGCTTTTGGTCTAATTTAAATGTCTATGAAAACTCTTGGTGGTCCAGGCAGAAGATAATTCTGCTGCACCTCTGCACATGTCTATGAAAACTCTTGGTGGTCCAGACAGAAGATAATTCTGCTGCACCTGACGTTCTACCAAAGCAGTTTTTATTAGGTAATATTTGAATGAAATCTTATCTGCAGTAGTGTGAGATAAATCAAGTTTGTAAATGCTTCAACATATTTCCTCCATCGCCTCCTCGTCATGGACAGGTAAGGGTTCACTTCAGTAGGTACGACTAAAATATTTTAATCTTTCCAACACAGAGACCTGTTTTTACAGGCTATTACCCGAGCTGTGTTCGTATGCTTCCAAGAACAACAACAAAAAGAAAAAAAAGATTTTATCAGGGAACTGAGTATAAACACAGCGGTGCTAGGCAATAAGTGCTGGTTATTATTGTTTGACTGCTGCAGAACCAAATAACAGCTCAAATGAATCACCTCTTCCACTTCTGACTGCCTCAATATGAGACTCAAACCTCTAAAGTTACAGCCTTTCTCACTCTACTCTACACCGAGGGTGGGCAAACATTTTGACTCGCAGCTTAGAATGGGTTCGAAAAGTTGACGGGTGGCCAGGCCAACGGCAGATTGATGGAGTGTCAGTGTACGCTAAGACAAACGTCATATAAAAGCCATACATAAATGCCTTTGGCCTCCTTCTTGTGGCAGCTGATATTGTATTGTTTGAAAACCACAACAGTTTCTTGGCTTATCAGACATACAGCTGTTGATCAGACTTCAGAGGTAGTTTCCCAGGTCTACACTATCCAGTCCACTGTTTAATCTCTCTGGCTTTTTTTATTGCAATGTGAACTTGTGTGACTCTAAAAAGGATACAACACAGTGTTTATCCCCTTTATCTTCCTGTCTTGTCATTTCCTTTCAGCTGAGAAGTCATGACGCAATAGTGACAAAAACCCTGAAGACAGCGAATGAATAAACAGGCACTGTGGTCTTGTTTAGTTTAGTTGTAGATGTTATGAATTTGTGCCTAAGTGTGTGCGGTCATAATCACAGTGTATCGAGTAGGGGCTGTTGTTTGTGTTTCTGTTTGGTTAGTAATCAGAGTAAGACTGGAGGCTTCACCCACTCAGGCTTTGGTTGCAGGTTGACTTACGTGGGCTGGTAATTTGGTGGTGTTTATCATGGACATTACCATAGCTGTGACTGTGCCAGTGTTGGAACTGCTTCCATCTGTGTTGAGTGGATGCTTTGGAGTGGAAAATGCTGCGTTCGCAGTTCTTAAGGTCAAGTATGTGGTGTGTGTGCGACATAAATAAAATTGTCATGACTGATTTCGTTGACCCATCCTGGTCACTGGCCTGTGTCTGTGTCAACTGCTCAGGGTTAACAAAATGTTATCAATGTGATGAAAGGATTATTTACAGCGTGGAGCCATTTAAAATAGATATCGTATGAACTTTAAATGAGCTTTTCTTACAGATTGTTAATAAAACCTCTTCAGTATCTATTAAAGCTGGGTGATATATTGAGTTTTTACAAATATCTATATATTTTACATATAAATGTATGTCCCTTATATTGATGAGTATGATAATGTTTAAAAGTTATATTTAAAATTTGCCAATTTCTGGCTCTTTTTTCCTTTATTCTCCAACATCGTCATCTATTTCTGTTACAGTTTACCTGTCGTTTATACTGTTTAGACTTATTTATGTACCTAAGATGTGAGTGTAAAATAGGTAATTTTCTTATTTAATGTTTATGATCATTGTTATGTTCTAGTCTGTTGGAGGTTTGTTCAGTAAAGGATGTTATTCTTTTTTGTACTGTGAACTCTCTACACAGACGTGTGGCTCATCAGTTTCATCATCGTATTATTATCATAGGTTTTATGTAGTTAACGCTGTAATCACACTCTGCTCTGAAGTTGCCATGACACCACGATAGACTGCATGTCAACATGTGGTGAGGTATGTGGTGTGGTAGTAAAGCTTATGTAAAAGTTCGGAAGATTTGCATCATCATCATCATCACAGTCATCGTCACCTTTGTCTCGTTTACCGTATTTGACACAAGACTCAGTTGTTTTGAAAATCATGTTGAGCTGCTTAATGTGATAGTAATTGGCCTCAGGGAGAATTGAATAGAATCCAGTGCATGTTTAGTGGCAGTGATTGCCCAACCACTGTGCTGCGGTACATTAGTGTGCCGTGAGACATCTATCTAATTTCACATAATTGGTCTGAAAACTATTATTTATTTACTGCCAATAGTTTGTCTTGGTTCGTCCGTGCAACAGTGACAGGCAGAACTATTAACGACTCTTCCACAAGTGGCAGCAGATGGCTGTAATAACTAAAGGGAGAGGGAGAGACTGTTGACCATCTCCCTTTGTGTCTTTCTTCAATTCCTGCAAACATGTAAGCATTGTGTCCAACTAAACAGGCCCAGGTTTCATACTGAGTGGGTAAATTGAAACTGGAAGATCATTATATTTCATAGGAATTATTTTTGTGGTACTTTTGTGTGGTGGTGCACTGTGGGATATTTTTAATGTAAAAGTAACAGCTGTGTCTTAAAAAAGATTGGGACATGCTGTTTCCTGTGTTACTGGTCTTATTGGTGTTTGGCAGATGGTTCTTTTTTTTCTTTCTTTTTTCTTCTTATTTATTATGTTTCATTGAGGATCTTGACGAAGCCAGACACCCTGTAAGATCTTTCCATTTTCTCTCTTCAATCCAGCGTTCTGTGGGTTCCCTGCATATACACTTGAGATTCCTGTCTTTCATTAAGCTCAGTGTGGGGCTCAGCTGTTGGTCGCCACTGCCCATCTGTCTTTGTGTCTGAGTGATGTCGTCGGGGTCAGGTCTGGGTTATCTCCCCTTATTACTCACAATGAGATTATATGATTCACACTGAAAAATAGATGGAGGAAAGTGGAGGAGAAAGAAAGCAGTACATTTGGATGTTGGAGATACAGCCGTGTACTGTATGTACTATTATCTGATATCTGTTTCTCTAGCTGTCAGCACTGTACGGACAGCGTTGCTGGTATTCTTGATATTCTACTACTGTAGCAAATGGAGATCTCTCCCTGTGAACATAGTTTGTGGTTTGTCTCTCTTGGATGTTGTATTCAGCCAAGACGATGTATTTTTGTCTGCACTGAGTCAACTGTGGAATCTCCCTGTTTTATTGTTGCTGCTGAAATTCTCCTTTTTTGTACTTCTTTTTTCCACAGTGACTCTGCTATTTGCAGCCTCACTCATCTCTTAAAGCTTCAGAGACATTCACTGTCTTCGGTCACGGTGTGGTGACTTGAGGACTGTGATTGAGGACGGAGACAAATTCAGGATGCTCCGTGGTTTGGAATCCTCCCAGTGTGAGTCAGACTGCGGAAGTGAGCGCTGTCACCCTGTCTTGATTTACACCTGTCTTTGAGGTCTGTGCACCAGAGGGAGGGGGTGGTCTCTCTGTGTGTGGTGGCCGACAGAAGGAAGTGACTCCAGTGGTGGCACGGTAGTCTCCCTGGGAGACAAAGCTCTTGAGAAGATTGCAGGGCTTCTTTATGGGATGAAACATGTGGTTTGAAAATGTCTGTTGTCGTGTTTTTGTCTTGGCTGAATGACACATTATCCTGATTTTCAGGATGTGACTAGTATTTTTGTGAAAACACTGAACTCACGTCTCCTTTATTTTTGTTGCATTGTGATTTTCTTAACTCACAAATGAGTCATTTTACCAGGACTACAGTAGTATTGTGCTTGATTGCATTCCTTCATTAGGCACATTTCTAGAAAGCAACAATGAAGTGTTTTAACTCTTCTGTTGTAAATGCATTTAGGAGTTTTATCCAATTTATTCCTAATATTAAGGACGTATGTAAGATGGAAATCCGTAAAGGTTTATGATGAAGGTGACATTATGTCTGTCTGAGAAATCATAATTTTTCAGAAGCCGAATCCACTGCTTTTCACCTCCTTGTTGCTCAATATTTGCCCTCCCTCTCTCTCTCTGTTTGTCTTGTTTTGTAAGCGGACACCACTCTCTGCTTCATGCAATGGGGTGTGTGTGTTTGTGTGTTTGTTTGCCAAAATGTCTGTTATTTTCCAATTAAACCAAACACCCACATGGATGCAGTATAATGTCCTGTTCCTGTTGCACAGAGGTGTGGACTGCAGCGGTCACTCTTGTTTAAAAGTTACAGTACCCAGGTTCCCTGGCATCCGTCCATCTCTGGAGAGCATGAAGTTGCACTCTGGGTATTGACTCTACTTCTCTTTCTGCAGTGTCAGTGGTAAAATAAAACGGCGCCTGCGTGCGAAGCCCTGACGCATCGCTAACATGTTGCTAACCTACGAGCAGCCAGGACACTGCTAATTTTCGCTACGTACAGACTGCTCGGTGCTAGCATGCCAGTGACCTGTGTGTTTTAAACGAGGTGACGTTTGGCCAAGTTTACCGGATTAGATTTACATAAAAGATGTCTCTACGTACAGTATCTACAGGCAAGGAAAGGCGAGTGATGCCCTCACGACACAAACTGCTCCTTAAATGTTTGTCTTTGCGACTACTGTGAATGATATGTATATTTGGGTCTTAGTTGCTGCAACCTAATCTGCTGGCCTGCTTTGACCCTGTTCCTTTAGCCTTTGATCGTCCTGGCTGAGGGACTAAACTCACTCTGTCATCTGAGCTCCCAGCAACCTTGTTTCACCTGACCTGACGAGAGCAGAACATTATTTCCATTAACTTACCTAGAACTGTTTATAAAAAATGTGTAAATTAATAATAGGGGAAAAAATATATCACAACTCATTATGGTCATTTTATGCAATTATTATTATTAATATTACATTTGTAATAAATGCAGTTTTGAATAGTGTAAATAATACAAAATAAATAATCAAGCATTTTATTTATATAAATAAATTATTATATTAATTTAACTTTATAAGATACAAAGAATGAATGAACAAATAGAATAATTTCTTACAATATTATTACAGACAATTTTAATTTGATTTTAACGTCTTTTCATTCCACTTAATGCAACTGAGCTAAATATGAAATTTTTCAAGTCTATATTTGCTGATTTTCTTCATTATTTTCCCCTCTCTGTATGGATTCATTAATTGCGTATCTATTTATAGTCTCACTTCCACCTTCCTCTCTGGCTCAGTTCATCCTATCAACACACACAGCAGGACTGCATGAACATGTGAAGTGTTTCATATTAAAAATGTTCATAAACCGTGACAAAGATAAACAAGGTACAAAGTCAAATACTTAAAGGAACAAAGATAAAAAAAAACAAATGCTTGAAGTGATAGTATTACATTGTGTATTCTCTCTTCCTGCATGTACAGTAAATCCCTCCACTAATATCTCTTCAGGATGCAGGATATCCAGTTAGGCTGGTATTGAGAAGGATGCACAGATTAGTGAGGTTTATAACCACTGCTGGTCTCTCAGTGTGAGCACCGGGATATTTAATCCCTGGAGCAGTGGCCTGAAAAACCGTCCTCTGATTTGAATTTGTTTTTATATATATATATATATATTTAAAGGATTGAAAATTAGTGTCTTCTTTCAGAGAAACGGTGTTGATGTTTTGGATTTTCTGTCCTCTTGATTGGATGGGAATGAATTGATCAGGAGTGTGAGACTGAAGAGAGAGGAACGTACAGTACCAGTGGTGACAGACAGCTCCTCATCTCCTTGTTAATGACTGAGACAAAGACAATGAGCTGCTGTGTTCGCCTGAAGGCCAATGGACAGATATGAGAGGAGGGGGAGATTAGAGTAGAGCAGAAGTAAAGGTTAAATGAAGTTAATTCATTAACATACTGTTAAAAATAAAAAATGTTTCAGTTTCAGCCACCTCTTCATTTAAGTGTTTAAAATTTAAGTGTAACAAGTTAGTTTACGTTTTTTTAAAGCATAGTTTCGTCTTCTATTTCAATCGTTTAATCCATTTTTATTTCCTGGTTTGGTCATGATAATTGATATTATTGCGGACATACAGCTAGATTAGGTGAAACTTAATGGTCTGCTATTGTGTCTGAATAAGAACAATGTGCAGGAATGACTGCTGCTTTGAAATGTCTTTTTTATTTTATTTCATGCGTTTGTTAAAATGCAAAAACAAGGCAAAACGACTGCATGTCAGTATGATTCTGTTGTCAGATACTTCCACCGGTTCTGCTGCTATTTCCTAAAATCACTTTTTTTTCTAACCCAAAAATAATAAATAAAATTAAACGAGACATTGTTTTACAAGGTAGTTTCTCCATCTAGTGGCGGCTTATCGTCACTGCATTTAATTGTTCACCCTGTGCAAACACAACAGATGTTTTTGCAGTTGAATCGAACAATTAGAATAATATACGAATGATTTTTTCCCCTTTTTCTTCAAAAACATATCAATATAAATGTTTTAGGGCAGACAATTAGAATAATATACGAATGATTTTACGAATGAACAAAGAAAAAGAGAAACAATAATCAGGGTCCACTCTGTCATGGGGCTCGTGTACAAAAACAACCAACCATCTACCTAAAGAAAAAGTTGGTCAGTTTAACTATGCTTTTGGATCTGGCTCCCTCTACGGTCCCTTTTTAGAATCTAAACATCTATTCAACTAAATGAAACATGCCCAATTATTACTGACCACATATTGTTAGAAAACACGCTGTATGTTTGTGTAAAAGCACAGTTGTGAACTCTCACCAGTTTGTGCACTGCACCGTCTGTTTATAATTCAGTGGAAATACAAAGTGAAACAGGGTGGAGCCCCGTGAGCCGTTATGCAGGAATCAGAAAAAGAAAAAAGAGAAAAACAGAACTTGACTTTCAGGTCTGTTGAGGTGAGCGGGTACACCTGCAGTGTGTGTGTGTGTCTCTGTGGTGGGAGGACTAGGTGTGTGTGTGTGTGTGTGTGTGTGTGTGCTCTGCAACAGGTGAGAGGGTGTGTCTGACTGCTGCTGTGGGTAAACACACGTTTGTGTTGTAGAAAGGGAACGATCGAGGGTGAGTTCCTGTTAAGCTTTTGTGTTTTATTTTGCTATATTTATCGACTTTATCTGCTGGATCACATTGTGACTATGCACTAAAAGGAGTTTTTTATTGATTTGTTCAAGTGTGTGTGTGTGTTTTCAGGTGACTGTAGTGTTGCTCAAATAGAAAGACTTTGACCTTTGATTGTGTTTGCTGTGATATTCATTTCATTTTCAGTGTCCTTGATATTGATTTATGATATTGATTTGTATTATTTGCACTTCATAACCTGCATAACTGCCCGGTAGGTTTGACTGCAGGAAGATATAAATATTGTAAAATCAACATTAGTCATTGGAAAAAAAACTCAAAAGGTTTTCAATAAAACAAATCAGAAAGACTTCCTTACTCGTATTCTTCCGTCAGCTCTGATTCATTGAACACATCTTTCCACCGTCTTGCAAACACATCGTAGCTCCATTCATTAGACTACGTGTTACGATAAAAGTCAACATCTGACACTGGTGTGACGACATAACCGAGAGGGAAGAACAATATCAAATGTCTAAGTTTGTCATGAACACAGTTAGGACTTTTTATGTGGACGTAGGAGCAGAGAATCCCTGCAGGTGTACTTTATGTGGAAACACTGAAGGTTTAGAGGTGACATGTGGTGGAGTGTTGGTTCTATCTGAGCTGTCAGTAAAGAGAGACAGAGATATTTTGGACATGTCTCTCCTCCCAGGGTTAATTGTGTTCAATATTCCACAGTTTTCCATGTGCTTTTGCAGTTATCCGCCTGGACTCCCTCCTTTTCCTATGACTTCTGCTCCAGCAGTGGAACACTGGCAGTGCCAGCTTCTGTCAGGACTCAAACTAAGCAGCCTGGATTCCCTGTTAAGCTAACAGTGATTAATAAGAATCTACATGGCACATGTCTGAAAACACAACACTGTCCTGCCGGCGTCACTTAACAGAAATGGACACGGTGACATTTTAGCGTTGCTGAGTCGATGCAGGAGAGAGACATTACTGAGGCAGAGTGGATATTTGACTGGATATGTAGATATACATATATTATTATTTTTTTAAATTTTCGTTTATGTTTTTCTCTAAAAGGTATTTCCATTTTAAAATGTCGTGTGGGCGAACATTCCCCCCAACCACAGTTTGATACACTGCAATTATGCACAGCCCATTGAAATGCAGTTCCACTGCGCATCTGCGTGTAAATGAATGTCGGGTCGTACCACAGCAGGATACACTGGAATTATACTCTTATGACTGTGTCATATATGGTGGTGTGCGCGCGGCTGTAACTCTATCCACCTCCGTCTGCCTGACTTTGCACTTTGCGGTTCCTACAAACCATTATGATGTAGGGTAGCTGAAATACAAATTGATTTTACATCCAATCTGTCTTCACCACTGCCCCGTAGCGTCATCCCAAAGATGAAGATCATCGCATTGGCTTCAAGAATAAGAACATAGTTTTCCATAAAAGGAACGCTATTGATTCTGTGAACTCTAATTCTCCTTCCCACGTGTTGTGATGCTAAAAATAAATAGTGTGTTACGTAGATAGCTGGATAGATGGATAGATTGATTGATTGACCCATTTAAACTGAATGGTGGGTCTAACTCCGTGTAAATAGATTATATAGAAGAGGTTCTTACTCTGTATTCTGTGTTTGTGCAAAATTATTACGTACAATTGTTATTTTAAGGCTTAAATAAATGTACATGGAAACACAGAACTGGTAACATAACCAGATGTCACTCTGACCGAAAATCACATCTATCTTGTGAGTCGGGATCAGCCTAGATAAACCTATTAGATCAGAGCGACTCCACAGACTCCACCACCACAGGTTTCGGAGCAAAGTGGTCCTTGGAGCTGTAACCAGAGCAGGTGTGATAGAGGTGGCTGAGGGTCAGCATATCTCAGTGAAAGCTGGTTCTTCCTGTCACTCGATATGGAGCCATAGAAAGAACAGAGGAAAGAACAAACTTTTAACAGCACAAATATCTGAAGCACTTCCTATCCAGTTCCAGATGGAGGCATGATAACTACAGAACCATCCCAACCAGTAAAAGCTGTGATCGCTTTAGAGTGTGATTTTGAGGGTTTTTTTTTTTTCTTGATGAGGATCTTGTTGCCTTTTGGCCAATTGTTGTGATCTTTCCACCATCCAGTCCACACGGGGAGGAAGGAGGACGAAACAAAAGATTGAATCGTAAAATGCACACAAAGGTCTAGTTAAGTAGTAGCAGATGTGAAGGTCCTGGAGTTGTTATTTGGATGTCAGTCATTCACCTTCTGAATTTATTTGTCTCGCTGACTTCATCAACCAGCTGAGAGTCGGACATCTCCACCTGAGTTTACCCACCTTCATTTCCATGGCATCTGTGCGTCCATCAGTCTACGATCTGAACAAGACAGAATGGACACAAACGGTGTCTGCATAACACAGTTACTCTGGAAGCAGGTCCTATCCCACTCTGCAGTACCATTATTTCATAACACAGTTACTCTGGAAGCAGGTCTGCAGTACCATTATTCCCCACTAGATGGTGCCAATGCTATATACCAACAGTACTGTGTGACGGTAGGACTATCACGTTTCAATCAAGCCCCTCATTCGTGTCCCTGCACTCTGTGACCATCTGATATTGTGTCATCCCCTCAGGCACAGTGAGCACACTCTGACTGCAGGGAATGTTTCTTTAATTCTCACTGTTATGAGTCTTTCGGGTCATGTAAAAAGTCCCCGGTGTTTTTGCCTCTGCAGCAGGCTTCAGAAAGCTCCCCTAATGGAAAGATGGAAACTTCCGCCGATTGAGAAACATGTGGTCATTCTTCATCTTTTTTTAAAGCAAAAAAGGGCAAAAGATAATCCAGCATCATATACTTTAAGAGCACTCGTGCCCTCCTTCGCTCCTGCCTCCCTTGTCTTTCCTCGCGTCTGTCATTCCAATCAAAAACTCTTATTGCAAAACCGTGCTGCTGCACCCGCTGTAAAACACTGCACTGGTTTAGCGTGGGTCAGTTCCCTTGGCTTGAACCCAGTGGCTGTTAGGTTCGGTTCCCCTGTTTAATCTGGCCTGCTGGAGAGATTTTGTGGTCAAGGCTCAGACGCCGTCGCCCTCTGCTGGTCTCCTTGACCTACGTCGTTAATGTGTACAAAAGGAGTTAAAAACTTTCATTCACTCATCAGGGGGAGTGATTCATGGCTGTGATCCATTCAGAGTAGGGGTCTTGAACTGTGAAGGCCACACAAGTAACTGATGTTCAATACAAAAAACCCTGATCCTCTAGAAATATATGTATTTTTTTTGTTGAATCCTGGACAATACAACAAGTGCAAAAGAGTATAATTAATGAAAAAATCTAATCTTGCAAGCCAGATTTGGGGCGTTCATGGTGTCGGAAATGGCCTGCGTGCCAGAGGTTTGAGACCCCTGAGTTAGAGTGATTAATAAACCTAGTCGTGGGTCTTTTTTATGGCAGTGGGAGGAAAGTAGTGTAACAAAAACCCACTCACAAGGGGTGAACATGCAAACTCCATATAAAACGACCATCATTACTGCAGTACCAGACATCAGACCTGTGGTCCCGTAGCTGTAAAGCCAGGGCTCCAACCGCCATACCAACACGTGGACTCTGTGGCTGAGGGGTTAAACAGCACTATTTCCTTTTGTTCGGACAGTGTACTTAAATAAAGCTGAGGCAGACGGCTGACAGTTATTGCCTACAAACCGCTGCTGGCGTGACACAGTATTCACTATTCGGAAAACCTGTCCCAGTACACCTCTGCTTGGAAAATCTCTCCTTTCTTAAGTTGCGTGTGTGATGAGTGCACCACATTTGGTACGTCTCAATCCAAAAGAAAAATATTTGTTTTCTGATATGCTGTCAGTGCTTCGCTTACCTGCTCATTCTTCTGGACTGCGTTGTCGAGATGTTTTTTCCACCAGGCTTCACCTGGGCTCTCCTGGGCCCAGAGGAGGGCTCACATCACAGCATGTCAGACAGGCGTGAGAGGGTCTTGGCCGTGTGGGCTAATCTTGACTAATTTGAGAATAAACCTGTGTGTGTGCACAGGGGAAGATGCCAGACGTTAGCCAGACCTTTTTTTTCTTTTCTAAGCACCGTTATTCACTTAAAGCTGAGGGAAACCCAACAAATGACAGAAGTGATGTTACTCTGATTTTTAAATCCTCAATTATCAGCGCACAGGAAGTGATGTTCTGGTTCTTCCTCTTTTTTAATGATTTTTTTTCTTCATATCAGTCTTGTGTGATAACCCAGTGAATACAGTGAGCTATGGAGTTTGTATTTGTTTTCAACAACCCTCCCTCTTCCTGTTCCTGCTTCATCTGGCTTTCCACTAGAGCGCCATTACTTTCGAAGCAATGTTTTTTCGCACCTGTTTGATTTTTCACAGGTGTGCTGCATTCAGGTTTTCCCTGGGTGGATAGAGTTTCACTTGTTTCCTCTTGAACCCAAATAAAGCTAGGGCTTGTGTGTGTGTCAGTGTGCACGACTATCTCAGTGAGTTATTCACTTGATCTTTGTGTCACCTGCGCACAAATGTGTCTATGATATTTGCTAATGTGGTAGCTATGATACCCCACAACACTCACACACACAACGCAGCAGCTGCGCGTATGACCATTCTGTCATTTTACAGGTAGACTCTAAAATCTTGTTCTCTCACAGGACAAGGCATAAAGTATGTCATCAGTTTGAGTCGGACCCCGGGCGAAGCGGCTGAGAAGCTCTCTGCTCTGACGTCCTGCTGCCATTTTCCACAGCCTGAGGGGAACCAGGGATCTGCTGCCAGGAGCCATGCCTGCCCTGGCCACTGGAGCCGGCCATGAGCCAGGTACATACCCCTCGGCCGGAGCCAAACTCTGTTAGTGGAGGTGTAGCACAAATCCAGGAAAATGTAGTCCAGACAAAAGTAAAGTATTTTTGCCCCTCAAACTTAGATTTTTATGTTTTACACTGGCGCCCACAAACACAAGAGAATTAAATACACGAGTGGTGGCAACAAGTATAATCCAGGTCCTTAAATAAAAAAATAAGTCTTAAGTTTAAAAATTGTAACATTTAATTTGAAATAAAATACCCATAACCCGCGTTAGGCTGGATTTCTGGACTTGGTGGAACAGGAATCTGTGGACAAAATCCTCGCTTCAAGGAATAAGCCCATAATACATTTGAAAAGGACCCTTGAAATTCACATGATTGGGTATTTGAATGTTCCCTATAACAGTAAAGTGTTGCAATGTCTGAGTGGAAATTGTCCAAGTGGATCTGGAATTTTTAAAATCACATTAGTCCAAAGTTGTTTGTCAGTGCCAGAACGTTTTTTTTTATTTTCTAATAAAATTACCTTATACAAGGATATTCAAATCCATTCATGATTTATTGGTTAAAATAACCCAGAGTGTGACTCAAAATGAACTAGAGGCACGACGAACGTGCAGCGCAAATACGTCACGAAATGTAGCCACTGCGTACCCCCGCGCCGCACACCTGTCTTTTTCTCTCCACAGTTAATAGGAAAAGAGTGTGTGATGTCAGACTGAACATGTCAAAGCTTGTCAACACTGAGTCAGCTGCCAGAAATCACCAGCTCTCCCCACAGGAACACTATCCTCCTCTCTGTGTGGTTTTAATGGCAGACTACATCATCGTGCACGCACATGAAAAAGGCCCCAGCTCAGCCAGCATGAAAGGACAAAAGAAGGACAGACGTAAAGTCCTAGCCTGATGGATAAAGAGTGTGTCTGTGTGACTGAGTTCAGACTTTTAACACAATTGCCGTAGCCCCCGTCATCCTGGAAATCTGCACAGACAAAGCAGTAAGCCAGGCCGTCAATTACGATTAGAGTCATTTTAGGCAATTACCAGCACAGGCTCAGGTTTCCAAATAAAACACGTAAAGACTCCTCCGGCCCATCTTTTCTGCTTTCCCCTTGATGGTCCTGTGAAGTTGTGTGTGCAGGTGAAACACGATGAACATCATGGATGAACGATGGGTCACTGATACGCTGGTCTGGTCACGCTCACGTGCCTGTGGCTGGCTTGGCATTGGGACTGACCCAGGATTGTGCCAGGGTTTACACAGAACACTGGACGTATTACCCTGGGGATTATCATAATACTGTTCACTTAAAAGTCAAGTTCCCCTGGGTGATGGAAAATCTGTTTCATTTGTAGTGTTTTGTAATTCGCAACCCTCACAGCTACATCTGTTCTCTGTCAGAACAAAGGATTTAAACCTTATGTTTACCTGATTTGGGGAATTAGAAATAATAGGATTCACCTCGTCAGAGTAGAGAGGCTCCAAAGATACGACTAGAAGGAAACGTCACGAGAGTGTGGTGAAACTGAAGGCTTTAGTGATATTGATAGTGAAGTGATTTATTTATGCCCATGACCTTGGAGCCCAATTTACTGCATTAGAAGGAGCTGGCTACGGTGGCGGACATCAACGCATTAGCTTGAAAATTAGCTGGAACATCAACACAACCTAGAAAAGCTGCAAAGATTAGGGCAAACATGTATTGAGTCAAAGATCTTTTTTTTACAGTTGAAAAAAGTGGAAATACAGGAGTATTACAGGGGAGTTCCGTTCCTACGGCGCAATTTAACTCGATTTTTGCTGTAGGTCGACACATACTGTACATTATGTCACTCACCTATGCTAACGCAGTGATAACATCATAATCTAGGACGTAGAGGCTGACTAGTTCCTGTGTGAAAATTTGTTTTAAAATAACTGTGTACATCAGCATGATGGAACAACACTAGACTAACCATAAACCCTGTAGCTTGAAGATGTCGTAAACCGAGGACGTCATTTTGTTGTCATCAGAAGTCGATTAATTGTGTAAGACAAGATAAAACCAACACAGAACGAATGTCGAGTTTCATGCAGAGCAGGTTCAGCACCAGAGCATCATCTGTTGTGAAAAACAATAACAATGCAGATTTGTTTTCCCAATCATTTAAGAAGCTCTACAAAGATGTTTGTCCTTTATTCACTTCTAGAGGTTCTGGGCTTTATTTTTGAAAACCCATAAAGGGATTTTCCAGCCAACAGGGCCATGTTATTCCCGGTGAGGTAATGCTGTAAATTTCTCACAGAAGTGGTTCTGTTTACACCTTTTTATTTATGCGAAAAGGCCCATTTTTGAAGACTCGCACATTGGCCACGGCAGCACCTTCTGCGTATTTCCTGTAGCTTTGAGTGCGGAGGTAGCGCGGGAATCAGAGAGGATGATAAACCATCAGACAAAAACAATAACTCCTCCACATGTTGTGGCTGCCAGTAATTACTGAGACGTCGCTGTGCCAGAAGCATTGCGTCTTCTCCGCAGCAGTTCGTAAAGCCTATCAACACCTGCCGTCCTACACATTGTGTGTGTGCGTGTGTTTGTGTGTATATAATTGATGCTCTCATGCTCATTCTAAAAATGTTTGCAAAGCAAACACACGGTCCGGCAAATGGGAGGCACATGTGTGATCATACCATCTCTGTGTCTGGCTCTGTCAACAGGTCTCTGTATGAATTAGAATCTAATAAATGAAGCCCAAGTGTTGGAGAGTGAGCTTAGAAAACAATAGAATGTTGGGGGGGGGGAAACTATCGTAAAATATGAACAGCTGCAGATGCAGTAGGAATGATCGGGTTTCTGTGACTCACTTCTGTTCATGAATGTATTGAAAGTCCATTTGTAGCAGGTCTTTTTTTTTTTTTTTTGGTGCTGATGTTAGACATCCTGTCGCTGTTTGAAGCATTTCCCTATACGCCACAAACTTAATGAGATGGCGTTGCATTTAAAAGATCCGGCGCATCAACTGAATGAACCTTGAATTCACTTCACTATGAAAAATATGGTATATTAATAACATTCCTTTTTTTCCCGGTAAAACACCTCATGATGCAGATATAATGAGGGGGTCTGTACAGTAATGTTCAGATGATGAACAAAAACCCCTCTGATAAATTAATCTGTGCGCTCGCCATACCTCCACCCCCTCGTCTCTGGACCAGACAGCTGCGCTTCAGTTCCGATCCCCCTGCTAACGTCTGTTGGAGGTTCGTCGTGGGCTCAGAACAGGGACAGATACCTGCGCTTCTCAGCTTTGTTTGCCTTGGCCCGTCTCGGTTTATTCCAGCTCCTGCTCAGGGATCCTCAGGTGCACACAATTAGCCCACTCCTCTGTCTGCTGCTCCACATCTCCATCCAGAGCTGGATTAGATATTTGCAGTCTCAACCCCTTCACTATCCACCATCCATCCATCCGTCCATCCACATGAAGAAGTCATTTTTAATCTACATTATTGGAAATCCCTGATATATTCACCAAATGTTAGTGTTTACTATTTCCCTTGTTGACAACAATTATCCTCTAAATAGATAAGACAGAATCAGCCCCTGTCAACAACCAAAGGTAACAGTGGGGTCAGATTGTAAGATTCAGACAGTTGTGCCATTAATGTACAATAGCTTAGTATTTTTTATTATTTATTTTTTTCTAACAAGATTCCTACCTATTCGAAAAATGTATACATTTGTGTTCAGCCTCTGGCAGAATTAGGATTTTGTTGATGGTTCGATTCCTGTGACTGACAGGGCCTTGCTGTGGTTTAATAAATGCAGCCCCCTGCCCCTGTGTGCAGAAATTTTGTCAATAGACGTTTTTTTTTGCTAAAAAATGTTTTTCATTAGCTTGTCAAAATGCATGTAATTTAATTTAAATACTAAGTAATTAGAAAATGAATAAATTGGTTTTTATTTGTATGAAAATGGGGACATTTACAGTGGGATTTTTTCTAACTGACAGGCTGCCACAGGAAGTGCCATTAAGTACAAGTGGTTCCTCTGGGACTTGAGGAATATATATACTGTGTATATATATATATGTATATATATATATGCTGTACAGAAGCAACATTTTGGATATGTCTGATCTCAATTGACTCTTAACAACTGGATTCTTGTCATTGCTGGAACTCTTCCCAGTCGTCCCAGAGAAATCTGCGTGTTCAGTCCTGTGTGAAACATTAGGTTAATTTAGTGACCGTTTTGCGATAACGTGCGCACTAAGGTGGAAGCTCAACGTCTGAGGAAATCGGGATATAGTTATTTATCATCTCAGCATCTGGTAAAAGCCACTGAGAGGTCAGCGAGCCTCCTGGAGGGAGAGTGGGTGTTTGCTGCCTGTAGCCCAGTTTCTTCTCTGGTTCTGGATTTTTATGTTTGTCTCCCAGCACAGGGGATTCAGTCTGGTGTTTGTGCGTGTGCAAGTGTTCAGAGGGGATGAGGCCCAAGTTAACCGAGTTTAAAAAAAGAATTTATTTGTATAGCTTCCGTACAGCTTTGACCGTGCACCTTCTTCCTTATCCCAACTGAGTTGACACAATGGCCAGAACACACATATATAGCCTGCATTTATGAAGTAATTAAAATGTCAGCGTTTAAATTTAAATATAAAAATACAATATATATTTACACGACTTTATTATGTGGAAAAAAAAAATCCATCACATTCTTCCGTCTTGTGCACCCCCTTGTGGCAGCTTGTGCACTCTTAACAGTGCTTGCACCACACCTTGGGAATCCCTGATTTAACTTAATCAAAGAGACATTTATTGTCGCATGATGTCCCATAAAAATCAAATGGTCCAACAAAACCAACATTTGCTGTCCCACCATAACCCATATGATGGAAACTCGTCTTCATTCTGCCCCTTAAGTCATGCAAAGTGGAGCTTCTAAATACCCCGACCACCTTTCATAGACCATTAAGCTCAACTGTGTTGTTCTAAGGTGCACCTGTGCCTTCTATCAAGGTTTACAGCCCCCG